ATTTTAGTGCAACAAGATTCAAGACATATTTATTTTATAAACCGGCGAGGCTCAAATCAAAGACGAAAAAAGCCTGTTTTACTGAACATAATTTGAGATGCAGTTTTTTGCCAGGATTAACAGCAAAAAAAGAACAAAGAAAGCGGCATTTGGAAGTATCAGGTATTTAAATGCAAGCTTTCAGCATCCAGAAAAAAACGTCCAAAGAACTTGATTATTGTTATTTTTCTCTTTGTTCATATTTTGTAATTGGTAAATTACTTTAAAAAAAAATTTTGCATGCGAATTCCAATGATTTTAACATAATTTGCTAGGGAATAAATTTTGCCTTCTTTCGTTTAAATTTGGTCAATAAATAATGATGTTTTTTTTTAATTTTTTTGTTTTGTTTATAAAATTTATAAATTTTAATATTCACAAAAAATTGAAGAATTTTCAATTCAATTTTATTTAATGTTTTATTAGTAGTTATGTATTAGTTACGTAATTTGATAAGAGATGTTGTTTGTTATTTATCAATGTATCTAGTTTGGGAATAAAAAAAAAAAATAAAGTCTGCAGCACATTGAACCTGCAAATAATGTAGAAAATGTACGTGAAATCACATGAATTGTTTCGTCCTTTTTATTAAAATAGAGATCGATACTGTTGGTCCCCTACAGAACATTACAATGCAAAATCGACTATTCTTCAGATTGACGAAGGTTTTTTCAAGCGAGTTTTTAAACTTAATCTTGCACACACCTTGAGACCATTGAGAATTATTATTTCTGCAGCAGTGAGTTTTAAAAAGAAGAAGGGCCTCTTCGACAAGAACAATACTGTCAAGTTTTTACGCCTTGTTGGCAAAAGAAGGTTGTGTGTGAATTTGACAAACATTGTCGCGCGCGCCTTCATTATTTTGGGCGTGAAAAATGCGCCGAGAGAGACTCTCGACGTTCCACTTTCGGCGCCGAAATGAGCAACTCCCGAAATAAAGCACTCCACTCGTCGCGCCTCCATAATATAAAATGAAAAAGTTGCGAAATAAGATGCAGGGGGGCGAGTGAGTTATGCCCACGTGTGTGCCACATCCGCTCGGGCACAGACACAATGGCGTTTGACACCCTCTTTCTCGTCTCGCATTACAATATGTAAATCTGGCAACTCTTTTTCGCATGCAAATAAGTGAAGGAGCGAACGAAAGGTGGAGGAATCGCGCGTCTCCGGGGAAATGGCAGAGATCAGATGGATGTGTCTTGGAGAGGCTGACACGCTTGCTTCAGCCGCGCGCTAATTTGATGGCTGCAGCCGTGACAAAGGGTAATCAAATTTCCTGGAGCGACGCGTGCGAAATGAAATTGGACACCTAGGCGGAGAGGGCAACAGATGGCGAGGAATTGTTGCCATCGGATTCCGATCTTGCAGGCGCTGACCGCAAACATTTGCCAACGTCTGCCGCCGATGATGAAACGGCGCGCATTTATTTAATTTCATTTCGAGCATTCCACTTGCTGCTCCAACCAGACGAATTCTTGCGGCCACTGCCTGCTCCCTGAGTTTGATTCGAATAGTTGCGAAATTAATTTCTCCACCGTATGCCGCCGACAGACAATAACCGCGTCATCCTATCCTTTCTGTGATCATGGAAAACGTGATGCGGTTTTTCAAATATGCGCCACTTTGATGCAAAATAAGTCATGATTTGAGAGAATGTTGCAAAATCGAGCAAAATAATTTGGGAATCTGGAAAAAGATGTAAAAAATATTTTATTTAAAATTATTAATGCTTTAGAATCTTTTTAATATATTTGCTGAGTTAAATTTTTTTTTTACCACAATCAAACTATTAATTCAATAGTATTATTAATTTTGGAAAAAGGAACACAAAAATAAATGCAAAGAACATGGAAATACCGACCAAAAAAGTTATGATATGTAAATACAACGAAAAATTAGTGAAATAGATATTATTATTATTATTATTCTTTATTGACTTATGAGACGTCGCCACGATGGAATTTCTCAATGCGACGCGCCCCATTTGCAACATAGTACATGATAAGAGAGAAAAAACAATATCACAATGCATTCATAAATTGAAAGAACTCTTTCCTATCATAAAATTTATGCACATGAACAAAACGCCTCAAACTGGTTTCAAAAACCTTATACCGAGGCTCCAAACGAACCGAAACAGGCAACTTGTTATACATAGAAGACATGCATGTCAAGGGGTTTTGGTTGGAAATTAACAAAGCCTGGGCCGGAACATACAAATCGCTCTTAGCCCTTGTCTGGTGATCATGAACTTCGCTTGTCTTTTTAAAATAATGCGGATATTTACGAACAAACTTGCAAGATTCAAAAAGGTAAATTGAAAATATAGGAAGGAAGCCGAACCGAGCGAAAAGTGGCTTCGCAGAACAAAGCGGCTCCGTACTGCGCCAATAGCGCTCACCCGCAAGAGCTCTCACCACTTTTTTCTGCGCCAGAAAAACCTCATCCAACGCTCGATTCGACCCTCCCCAAATTACAATGCCGTAACTCATGATCGAATGACAGTAAGCATAATAAACCATTTTCAAGTATTTCTCATCAACAGAATGCATCAAGTTGTTAATTAAAAATACAGCACTATTTAATTTTCCAACTACATAATCTGAATGCTCAGTCCACTTTAAATTATGCGCGAGATACAAGCCCAGAAATTTTGTCACATCCGATTCTGTCAAATTTTCGCCATTCAAAGTCAAATTAAAATTATCGCGGTCTAACACAGGGCGCCTAAGTTGAAAATTAAGCACCACTGTCTTTGTCTGATTTAGCGTCAAAAAATTGTCACGGCAAAAATCTGACATTAAATTCACTGCCAACTGCGCTTCTTTCTTTAAGCCGCAAGTCGTCCTGGAAAACAAAAGGGACGACGAATCATCCGCGTAATTTAAGAGCAACCCGACAGCTACGTGGAGTGGCATGTCACCGATCGAGACGTCAAAGCCAAACGGAGAAATAATACCACCCTGAGGAGTCCCTCTCTCAAGTAAAAGCTCCTCAGAGTACACAAATTTCTCAAACTTGCCGTCCATGACACGCAATTTGACCGCCTGCGTCCGGCCGGTCAAGGCCGAACGCAGCCACTCCAACGCAACACCTCGGACGCCTTGAAACTCAAATTTCCGAAGCAGCAGCGGCACGCAAATTGTGCCAAACGCGTTTGAAAGGTCGTAAAAGATTCCAAGTACTTTTTGCTTCTTTTCAAGATGCTCGTGTAATTTTACAATGAACTCAAAAAGGGCAGTCGCAGTGCACCTGCCCTTAATGAACCCGTGCTGCGAGCCCGGCAGTAAATTATTAACCTCGTAAAATGAAAACAAACGAAGCAAAAAGCACTTTTCGAGAATTTTTGAAAATTGAAAGTGAAGAAAACGACTTGTTTACATTCAACGACGACAAGCTTCACTTTCAAGACCTCCAATATTTTTCCAAAAATTAATTTTACAATATTTTTATTTATTCGTTTTAATCGATAAAAAAAAAATTTGTAAAGAGAGGAAATGATTTAATACGCCCGATTTCACAAGAGCCTCGGATTAAATAAGAAAAATTAATAATTATTATTTTACGATTAAAAATTAAATGAGCATTTTTTCTTTTTTTTTGTATTTCAAAAATTTTGAAAATACAAGTTTAAACCTTTCTTCTATGTTTTCTGCATTTTACCAAAATTTGAGCTTATATTTAATCAAAAATTGACTACAAAAGACTTTAAAAACATTTTTTCTTGAAATTGTTTTAAAAATTTCACTTTTTACCCTTTCAGTCCTCACGAAGAAAAATACCAAAAGGAAAAATGAACCACAATATTTATTTCAAAACTTTATGGTGTAATTTGAACATCCCGCGACAAAATATTTCGTTGCAAATGTTGCTCCTTTGAATATTAACGGTAAAAATTTGAGCGCAAAAGTGTCCCCAGACGCGACGGTTGTTCGATTCGCCGCTTTATTATTTCACTTTTCAATGTTTGATATCGTCTGATGTCGCCGGGGCATTGTTTGAACAAGCGTGCGCGCATTGAAATATTGAAAATCACTCGCGTCCGATTTCCCCCGAGGGCGTCGTGGCGTGCGAAACAGCAAACCCAGCGAGCGGCCGGCCGGCCCGCAACTGTGTATTTGCGCCTGCTGCTTCATTTCGGTCGTTGGCGAGCCGCTTGATAGATAAATACACATTAAACGTTGCTGCGAAACAACACTTTCCAGATGGATGTGGATTCGCCTCGCGCGTTATTTACTGCCGGGGTCCCTGGGGGCTCACGAGAGAGCGAGACCATTACAGCAACAGGCCCCTCGAGACGCCGAATTATATCCGCAACTCTTACAATTTGCAGGTGCGCACAAAACGCACTCGCAAATAATATATATTTGAACTCCCAGCATTTATCACGTTAATACAAAAGCCTGCGTTCTACAAAAATTGTTGACAATGATTTTCTTGCTCATGAAATAGGGTCGCAGACCGTGACCGAAACTGGTAGAGCCATTTGTTTTTGAATATATAAAAACATTTTTCTGAAACGAGGAAAAGCCCAATCGCTTCATTTCCATGATCATCTCCTCGAGTGTCAACTTCTTCAAACAAATTCTACAAAATTGCTTGCTAAGAAATTTAAGAATGATGAAAAATTGATGATAACATATTATTTAAGTTTCCAAAAATAAAGATTTATCATTAAATAAGAAAAAAAAAACGGTTTAAGTAATGTTTTCATGTATTTAGCATAAAATCGCAACTAATTAAAACAGACTAGCAAAAACCAGCTAAAAAGGTGACTAAATTTATGTAAAATCAACAATAAATAGTTGGCTTTTTGACCCCTAAAATGCTCGAGCCTTCAGAAGACACTTTCAACGCATAATAAAAATTAAAATGGATTTTTTAAACCAGTAGAAATATTGACTTTTTTTTATAAATATGAAATTTAGGAAATTAATTATAAAAATCATTCTGGTTCTTACCTCATTTTGGAGACGAAGGAGGGCGTGAACTCGAGGTGCGTCCAAATGCCGAGGTCCGAGGATCGCACGTCGTCCCAATTAGTGTACTTGACCGCGGCGCACGACGGCACGGGCATCGCTGCAAACAAGCAAGGCCGGAGGGTAAATATTTGCATAGGGCAATCGCTTAATTAAACGTCAACAAGTCGCGAGAGCGAAAAATTCCCGCCCTGGAACATTCTCCGGGGCGTTTCGTTTAACAAGAGAAAAGCATAAAATCGGAATAATTTGACACGCTCGCGTCATTTTGCTGCTACGAATTTGTTGCGGTCGCAATTAAAACGCGGCCGCGTCGTAACTCTCGCGTGGTGTGACATTAATATCGCGAGCGAGGGAGGGAGATGAGCAGCGCCATCACCACTTTGTTCAGAGGCGGGAGGAACGGCGCGGTTTCGGATATCAAGAACGGTTGCAACAACCAAAGGGTGTTGAATTTTTAATGCGCACACCAAGCTCATTCAAGTTTCAAATAGTTTAAAGACCAATGAACTTTATAAAAAATTCAAACATTTTCTAAGCAAGATGGACTAAATTTAATTTTAAACTTCTCTTTTCCAATTAAGAAAATTTCATATTCTTTAAATTTAATTTCTTTTTAATTCTAGTCAAGTAAATTTGATCTTTTTTTTTAAATATACTTTCTTCAGGAGGAACAGTCCGTACCTCACCGTTCCTCTTGATTTGCAGCCTCACTTTAACGCGCCGTCGCTGCACACGAGAGGGTAAAAAAAAAAACTACCGCGCTCTCTGCAATTTGATTTACACCGCTGCCGCGAATCTGCTCTCATTTGCACGCTTAATTGCGAGAACAAGAGCTGCAGTTTTAAAAGCAGGCATTCCTTGCAATTGCAGCCGGTGAAAGATAATTAGAGAACTTTGTTCGTTAAGCAGCTCCCGTCTAGGCAAATTTGGAATAATGCTGACGCACGGAAGGTGGTAATTATTTTCCATTTTCTGAGCTGCTCGCATTACGATTCAGTAATTGTCACGAGAAAATGCGACAGATCGGTTTTTATTTATTAGGAAATGGAATTTTATTCCGAGCTCTGATTACACTGAATTAATAAACGATGGAATTCCATGAAGGTGGTAAAAAAAAATTGAAATTAAATTTATGAATATTAAAAATTAATCACAGCTTCCCGGAATCAATGATTTTAATTTTGTTTATTTTCTAAGACAAAGAAATTTTCGTAATAGGAAATTGTCTGCATTTTTCAAATTTTAGAGCCAATGTAAAGAAAAAGATTACGATTCTTGGCACTACTAGTGTCTTATTGAGCTGACATTTTATTAAAAAACCAATAAAAATAATAATAATAATATAAAATTGTAGAAATTGAACGGGCTGATCCAGGATGAATATAATAAAAAAAAAGTAAATCTCTAAGGTACTGCGGTAGGTATTTTTTTAAATAAATTTATTGTGTTGCCCATTCATTCCTTTTGCAAATTGAATCCTTTGTCTGTTTATTTTTTTGGTTTTTTTTTGGCGCAAGGAATTGGGGCAAAACACAAAGAGGCTATTTAGATTCAATTTTATGTTTTTGCTGCCTGGCCTCTTCTAAATTAAAGCGTTAAACTGTTGCAGACACGCCTTGAAAGCAAAATATTTTTTGGCCCGAGGCCAGTGGGCCTTTTTCTGCCAACTTTTCTCGAGAGCCACTCGTCCTGCACTACTTTCGATAATTATCGTAAAACATTTCACTCGCAAACAGACCACGCGCATTAAACATTCATTTGAACGCTGAGTAATTTTGCCTGGACCACCCCTCGCCGCATCAATAATTGAAACAAACACGCACACCTTGATGCTGCACCGGCCGGCCGAAGAAAGTTGAGGTCTAATTTATTTTGGGCCGCGCATTTCCAAAATTAAGCAATTCCAAGCTGGGTTACTTTTTGTTCTGGCCCGTGTTTTTAAAGCGGATGGCGCGCGCCCCTCTGATTAGTTCGTCTTTAAATTTGCGCCACTCTGCTCGCACCGCACACACCAACTTCAAAGCAGCAAACTATACGCACTTTTGTGTTTTCCCACCCCTGCCGCTACTTTTTATTTATTTTACTGCCGCCACGACACGTCGAGGGAAAGATGTGATTTTATGATTATTATCGGAGCGTGTCCGGATTTCGACGGAGCGATCCGCGAGACGTCGCAATTATGGCGCGGGAAACCCAACACCCGCTCGCTGCTGTGTGTGCTCTGCATAAAAGGGAACGAGATGGTTCCTTGTTTTCTCAAAAATTTGACAACCGCAAACATGGAGGTGATTGCGGCAAATATAACGAGCTGCTCGTCTCTCTCCCTCGTTTGCAAATATTGGCCTTTAATGAGCAGGCGAATATTCTTGGAAAAGTGTACCAAGATATTTTGAGCTAATAATATTTTACAAGGCTTTTCCAGCAGCTTGGCAAAAGTAGTTATTTTTCATACATTCCTCTTTTGGAGCCAAGGGCTTTTGGAAATCCTAAATATCTGTGTTATAAATCTTTTATAATTTCTAATTAGGTGGCATATTAATATGGTTAAATTTATTAATAACAAATGTTTTGTGATCTCATTAATTTTACATAAAATTAAGCTAGCACACCTTTGAGATTTTAACTAAATTTAGCAACAGATTGATTTGCGTACGCTTTTATTCTCGTGATTACCATTATTTAATTAAATTTTATATTCAAGATTCAAGATTTATTTATTTTGTTAAGCATTATATGCGACATAACATACAATAACCACTTTTTAAAATAAGTCAATATACAGTATTTAAACGATAAAATTAGCCTGAAATTTAAAAAAAAAAAATCTGAAATACTCAGAATTATGAATTTACTCATAAAAATATTTTATCAATATTGATGATTCAACTAAAAATATTGATGATTTCAAGCAAAATTTTTAGCACTTTCAAAAATTTTGAACAATATTTTTTTTAAAGTTATTTGGATGTAGATTTAGACCTGACATGTTCTAAAGACTACTGTTAATATTCTTGTCTAACAGAACAACAATAAAATTGAATTGAATTGTTTGCAATCTTTATGCTAATCTTTGGTCTTCGAATATCAGTTTACATATTGAAGGAGGAAAAGGGTTACTTGGATTTTTGCGAGCTTTGGAACACCTCAATTGATGAAAACTTATTGCATCATTTGTCATGAAATTGACTATGTCCTTACATGGTGATCTAAAATCGGTTTTTTTTCGATGGATTTTGTGAGTAGTTTATTGTTTAAGAAAAGACAATATCTTACTCTACTTGTTTAGACTGCGGGCTGCAGCCATAATTCATGAGCTGTGAATAGTTTTGACAAAAATTAGTTTATAAATTAATGCTATAAAAGTGTTTTCATCAAAAATATATTATTTATTTTTCAAAAATTTGATTATTGTCATAAGAAATACTTTTACAAATTTAATTTTTATAATGTTTTTGGTCGCAATAGAGAAACGTGTGTTTTTTGAGCATACCTTTTGGCACTAAAAATAAATATTTAAGCAAATAAAAATAAAATTCAACTATGAATATCATTTATCATTAAAATTTTTATTTAATGAAGAGTTCAGGCTTTTCCTCGTTGCAGAAATTATTTTTATTCAAAATTTTTTTTTAATTTCTTCCGAACTTAAAAATGCAAACGGAAGAAGAGAATTATTCTCTTCTCGGTGGCAACGACCAAGGGTCTCCAATGTCTAGGGCGAATCGAGCCGAGCATTTCTGCTCACGCACCTAATCAAAAGGTCCTGGGAATTCGCGGAGATCAAATAACTATCGGCGTGCTCTGCCGAGCGAATTCTTCTCCCCCTTTGAATGCGAACGACGAGAGCACAGGTTATCTATCCATCTGTCTATCCACGTACCCACCCAGCGACTAGGAATGCGATGCAAATATTTGCGTGTCTCTCTCAGCGAGAATTAATCTGGAGAACAGTGCGCGCGCGTGCTAATATTTCCTTATCTAGCGAGATGGAGTGTAATTCGCCTGATTTATTAATGCAACACGGCCTGGCAAAGTTTATTAACAAGCCGACTTGCTGTCTCTATTGTGTTAAGTTGTATGCCAATGTGTGCTCCGTGGATGGAGACAAATATAATTCCCGCTGTCGATTCGCCTCTGCATTATACCAGGGAGGACCCAGAGGAGTCGCATTGTCGCCGTCAGACACACAGGCCTATTCGCACTCGCTGCTAATTAGTCCGCTGCTCAAGTTTCTATAATCAGCTCAGAACGCGCAGTCCCCAACTTTTTCCCTCTTTTGAATTATGCCAATTTGATTTACTGCCATTCTCTCATGTATTATGGTAATTAGTAAGAAGCTTTGAAACGACGGAAATCAACTTTATTTGAGACAAGCAAAATTTGAAATTCTGATGACGTTATATTAACCCATCATTATTTTATACAATTTGAAAAAATAATTATCACTTAAAGTTTTCAGTTTTACACAAAAACAATTTTTAACACAAAATTTGACACTTGAATCCAAATAATTTTGAGTTGGTTTGACGTGTTTTGAAATTATGTTTGCATATTTTTGAAGAGAAGGAAAAATTTCAATATTCTTACAATCAGTTTACTGATTATTTTAAAGTGACTTCTTTCAAAACCATGTTAAGTTCCTGCTCAATATTGTACTGAATCCATTCCTTAAAACTTCAGTGAAAATGTCGAATTTGTAGCGCATGATGTCATTTTAACCTTAATCACTATCTTTTAAATGAAGAAGATTGGGCTTGTCCTTGTCGCCGAAATTGTTTTTAATTAAAAACAAATGGCTCTACAGTTTCGGTCACGGTCTGTGAACCTATTTCATGAGCAAAAAAAAAAATACAAAAATCAGCAAAATGGAAAAAACGCCAACATTTTATTAACATTAAAGTGCTCTTATAAATTTTATATAGGTAATTGGTCCTTGAATTTGTTATTTTTAAGATTTTAATTTTTATGTTAAATTGTGTTGTTTTTCAATGTTGCTGATTTTTTGTACTTTTCTTGCTCATGAAATAAGGTCGCAGACCGTGACCGAAACTGGTATCTAGAGCAATTTGTTTACGAATAAAAACAATTTTATGCACC